ACAAATGAATGCTGAAATAAATCTTCTAGAAATAGTTTATAGAATCTAAATGATACCAAGATATTGAATATTTGAAAAACAGTTGTTATTCTCTCCAGTAGTTCTAGGCAGCCTATATTAAAGAAGAAACTTTTAATGGAATGGAAGTAATTAATTATAGTACCCATTATATTTAAATTCATTTTCCTACTGTTTTCTAAAATAACCACATCTCTGTGGTTTTATCCATTTAAAACTATGTTCTTGCATTTTTCCAACCCCAAAATGTATCAGTAACAGTAAGAACAAAATTAAAAATAAAAAAAATAATTAGTTTGGTTCCTGAAAATCAAGTAGTTGTAAAGCTCAGAAATAATTTTTTTAGTCTTTACCCCAATATTCCTCGATCTACAGAATAAACAGCTTTTATTTCATTGGTTTTTACATCCAATCTCTTTGGAACTATTTTTAGTCCTTACTGGCACTGCATGTGTTTTCTGGGCAACTGTACCAGATTTATAGCTCTGGAAGTGCTGTGTTATTTATTACCTTCCAGTAAGCAATGAAGTGATGTCTTGCACATGCATATGTCAAAAACGTTAAAGTTTGGTACAATGGATCAGTTGATTCTTTCCCAGAACAATAGACAAAATATAGCTTTTAATTTGGCAGCACATATATTTATTCATTTTTTTAAAGCTAAATACTTCTCTAGGAATTTTCATATCCAACAGCAACTTTATCTTCTTTGATTTTACAAATCCTTACAAAAATTTAAAGTCTCAGATGAGCTTAACATTTTGCTTATTTCAGCAATTTTTCTCCTGGGTTTGCAAACTCAAAACTTATTTTTGTATTTAGAAAGAAATATCATTCACAAAGTAAATTAAGTCTTTTGTGTTACATAAGATTATTAGAAAGTCCATAAATTTTCCTTAACCTGAACTGGACTGGGCAATTTTGTATACACAGCATTAATGTATTTTAAGATGTCAGAATCCAAAATAAACAAAAAATACGTTGCATCCAATTTATATTCTATGCTGTTTTCTTCCCTGAGTTTTTGTTTTGTCTTTTTATTGTTTGTGTATATGGCGGTTTGACAGATGTGGGGGTTTGTATTTTATAAGTAATGTGCTGGCCACTTAACCACACTTAGCACTTGTCATCATTTTCTCTGAAAATAAAGGTTTAAAACTAGGTTGTAAAGTTTTACCAGAGATGGACACTTTATCTTATTACATCCCTAACAGAAAAAATGTATTTTTATAAATAATTCTGACTTTTTTTCTAGACAGTTTTATTAAAATAAAAGAAAACAACCTAAGTCAACAATTGTAGCATATTTTTATTCCCACACAGACTGAGAATTAAAAATGAGAACAATCAAACTCTATCCTTTCTCCTTTTGTCTTTTGAAATAGGAATTATTCTTTTTAATTCATGAATTTTTCATCTTACAAATGATTATTGAATGTGTTTATATATGAAGATGCTGTGTCTTTAGGGATTATAAATATAAACAAAGTTTGATGCCACGTTACAGTATACTCTCATATCCATCAGTGTATTAAGGCTTAAGTAAATTACCTAGTGACATATAGGTGTGATACCTAGTGCTCTCACCAAATGACCATTTGGGAGAGATATCCAAGGATTTTCTCAAGTAGAGTTTGTCTCTCTAAACAAGGGAGAGTAATTTTAAGTAGATTTGAAATTGAAGATATTACTGGTCAATTATTAGTGTATAGGACATGTTTATGTTAGCAAGGTGATGAATTAAGGAGCCACAGATCTTTATTTCTCTTTTTCAATTTCCCCAGTATTCTCATGTCATGGTCTAACATATGGGAGAGGGCTTCAGTTTTTTTTATTGCTTGTGTGGGTGTGAATGTCAGGTGAACTAACTGCCACGGGGTAGAACTAATGTTGGATCTGTGTGTTAAGTCATCCTTTATTCCTGAAGGAGACAAGACAGAGAAACAGCCTTGGAATACTCCTCAATAATAATGGTTATAAGCTCATATTGGCACTATACTTTGGCATCAAACTTAGATATCTAACCAAACTTTGAAAATTACGTCTTACATGTGGGCAACTCCTCTAAAAATTCCTTGGACAATATGAAATTTAAATTTGTAAACCAGCAAGTCATCTGTAAAGTTTGAAATATCTGGGAAGGATATGCATGCAATCACCTAACTGAGCATAATTTTTTAAATTCAAAATGTGTTTATTGGGTGGTTTCCCACTCATTTTGACTCAGGGTACTTATAGTGCCTCTTCCTTCTGAAGGAACATCTTTCTGTCAACTTTGCTTTTCCTCTTGTAAGCTGATAGAGGACAGTGTAGCAGCCAACTCACAATACTACTTATTGTGAAGGGCTAAGAATGGTGGTAATTTTATAGAATCTTGGGCCTTTCACATCTGTAAAGTAAGAACTGGGGCTCTGCACCAGGAGCTTCTTCTTGTATTTCTCTCCCCCTCTTCTTGAAAGGGATGAAGGAGATCCTTAGCCAGAGGCATATTCTCATGGGGAGATCGTCACCACTGGAAAAGGTGAACATAATTTTTTGTTAAAGAAAAATATGATGTCTAACAGTAATACAGATCAGTAGAACGTTGTGTAATAATAGAGATATTTTATATCTGCACTAACTCAGTAGCCACTACCCACATATAGCTATGAGAACTTTGAATGTGGTTAGTGAGTTTGAGGAAGTTTTTAGATTTTACTTACTTTTAATTTATTAAAATTTAAATACTGTGACTAATTGCTATTGTATTGGACAGAGCAGTTATAGAAGACAGAAGAGCGATAGGGACATTATCCATTATCTGATATTTTTAATCTCATTAACACCTTGAAAATTTGAAAATCTATTTTTTAAGATTACTGTCCCTTCACATAAAATAATTAAAAGGCAGTAAGCATGCTGTGCATAGATTTTTCAACTGACATAAACTTGCCTTCATTGGTTTGGGAAAGCAAAGGTCAATTCAAAATCCAGGCAAATATCCAAGATTGAAATCTAAATATACAAACACAAAATACCCAAACATAAATACATAAAATTAAAAATTAAAACTAGCATATTCTTTTTCCAAGATGTAGTATAGTTATAAATTAGACAATTGGGCCTGAAAATCAAGAACTTAAGAGAATTTTCTTGTTCTTTTTAAAATATATCATATATGCTAGTTTCCACTTATATAACCTGTGAAAATACTTTATAATCTCCATTTATAGCTCTTTTTAAAAATATAATTATCTTATTTAATATAAATATGTTAATATCAATACCATCATTAAATACTTAGATTATGATTGTTTTTCTCTCATCTTAGCTAGAATTTAATTCCCATTACATTAGTAAAATGTGTTTACACACCACCATATCCCCAATGCTTAAAATAATGCTGTGACCATAGTTGCCACTTAATATTGGTATGCCAAGAAGTAACATGGATTTTTATAAATTCAATTTAGAAGCTATTTTTTCTACCCATACATGAGACATTCTAGATCCGAACCTTTCTAAAATCCTTTTGAAATGTTATTACAAGAATAAAATGATCATTAATCACTAATTTATTTAGACCAAATTATAATAGTAAATACTGTATTTATCTATATTTCATATCATTATTATAAAGTTCTTTAAAAAATACACAGTTGAAGAATAGGTTTCAGTTTGTTGATTTTCACACTCATAAGTAACTATGACATAGCAAATATTTCCCTTGCTATATACTTTATTCAAAGAAAAGGCAGATTGTTTATTGACTTATATGAATAAAATAGTAATAGAATGTTTATTTCAGCTGTGTAAAATAAGAACAAGGTAACAAATACACATGAATTACTTCATATGATCTCCTTAGCTGACTAAAGAGTACTGTCAAAGGTATTTTTTAGTCAGCTAAGGAGATCACTATTTATCTGTGCAGGGCATATCTTATTTTAATTCAGAGGGGATTTCTAAAATTTTTAATTTTATTTTGATAAATTGGAATTTATCAACATTAAGGTATTTGACTATTTAAAAGACTTGTTATGGGTGTGGGATCCTTTTTGTACTTATAAGCAGTAGCACTTAAAAGACTGCATGCATACTAATTATTTTACAATTTTATATTGTTTGAACCTCCTTGGGTGGTTCAACCATCAAAAGCTGTTCAAACATTGCCATAATCTGACTTCATGTCAATGAAGATAATATAGGTGCTGTTTCCAATTTGACATTTTGACATGAGACTTCATTCCACTGTACTTACTCATTTTAAAAAGTTAATTAAATAACGTGTTTTTAATCTCCAAGAAAATTTTAACAGCTGTTCTTATAGGAAAAAAATGAGGAGATTCTGTGTGTTTTACACTAGGTTATATTCTTATCAGAATTTCCTTTTCTCACTTCAGCAAAGGTTTTCGTTATTTTCATTAGATGTGATATATGTGCTACTGTCTTGGACAAATATTTTACACTTGATTGTTACTTATGGTCATAAGTCACCTGTGTAACTGAAATCTACAGTAAAATATTTGTTATGTGCAGTAACCATGGTTAATTCACTTATAACTTCATTCACCATGTGAAACTTAGTGGCAATTCTTTTTAAATATTCTATATACTCCTCTCTTTTTGAAACTTTAATAGTTTACATAAATGAGTTCCATTCATTATCATAAAATGCTACAGTCTTAAAAACCCTCAGAACATTTTCTAGCAGAACTCTTTCATTTAAAAAATGCCTAGAGATGTTAAACGATTTGCTTGTGGTCATGATAGTTATAGGCAGAGTTAGGACTTAGAACACATTTTCTGGCATCTATTTGTAAACTAATTCTATACCACATGGCTTTGAGAAGTTGAAAATTCAAAATGTGTTTGAATTTTAATTTTAATTCAAAATGTGTTTATTGGGTGGTTCCCTACTCATTTTGACTCAGGATACTTTTAGTGCCTCTTCCTTCATTACATAATAATGTAAGTTAAATGTTTCATTCTGTATTTTCCAGGGTCAAAATATATTTGGGCTCGATGTCATTGAAACGCCAGAAGGAGAAAAGATGCCACAACTGATTGTTCAAAAGGAGTTAGATAGGGAAGAGAAGGATACGTATGTAATGAAAGTAAAGGTTGAAGATGGTGGCTTTCCTCAAAGATCTAGTACTGCTATTTTGCAAGTAAGTATTGCTGATACAAATGATAACCATCCAGTCTTCACTGAGAATGAAATTGAAGTCAGTATACCAGAAAATGCTCCTGTAGGTACTTCAGTGACACAGCTCCATGCCACAGATGCTGACATAGGTGAAAATGCCAAAATTCACTTCTATTTCAGCAATCTAGTTTCCAACATCGCCAAAAGGCTATTTCACCTCAACTCCACTACTGGACTTATCACAATCAAAGAACCACTGGATAGGGAGGAATCACCAAACCACAAGCTACTGGTTATGGCAAGTGATGGTGGGTTGATACCAGCAAGAGCAATGGTGCTAGTAAATGTAACAGATGTCAATGATAATGTTCCATCAATTGATATAAGGTACATTATCAATCCAACCAATGGCACTGTGGTTCTTTCAGAAAATGCTTCACTCAACACCAAAATTGCTCTCATAACTGTAACGGATAAAGATGCTGACCATAATGGTAGGGTGACATGTTTCACAGATCATGATGTTCCTTTCAGATTAAGGCCAGTGTTCAGTAATCAGTTCCTCCTGGAGACTGCTGCATTTCTTGACTATGAGTCCACCAAAGAATATGCCATTAAAATACTGGCCACGGACGCTGGCAAACCTCCATTGAATCAGTCATCCATGCTCATTATCAAAATAAAAGATGAAAATGACAATGCTCCGGTTTTTACACAGCCTTTCATAAGTATTTCTGTTCCTGAGAATAACTCTCCTGGCTCCCAGTTGACAAAAATAAGTGCGACCGATGCAGACACTGGACATAATGCTGAGATCAGTTACCTGCTAGATGATGATGCTCCACCTGAATTCAACCTGGATCCGCGTACAGGCATTCTGACTGCAATGAAGAAACTGGATAGAGAAATAGAGGAAAAATATTACTTCACAGTTCTGGCAAAAGATAATGGGATTCCACCCTTAATAAGCAATGTGTCAGTCTTCGTGACGGTTCTTGATCAAAATGACAACAGTCCAATGTTCACTCACAATGAGTACAATTTCTATGTCCCAGAAAACCTTCCAAGACATGGCACAGTAGGACTAATCACTGTGACTGATCCCGATTATGGAGAAAATTCTGCAGTCACTCTCTCCATTTTAGATGTGAATGATGATTTCACCATTGATCCACAGACCGGTGTCATTCGACCGAATATTTCATTTGATAGAGAAAAACAAGAGTCTTATACTTTCTTTGTAAAGGCTGAGGATGGTGGTAGGGTATCACGTTCTTCAACTGCCAAAGTGACCATAAATGTGGTTGATGTCAATGACAACAAACCAGTTTTTCTTGTCCCTTCCTCCAACTACTCCTATGAATTGGTTCCACCATCCACTGATCCAGGCACAGTGGTTTTCACAGTAGTTGCTGTTGACAATGACACTGGCATGAATGCAGAGCTTCGTTACAGCATTGTAGGAGGAAACACAAGAGGTCTGTTTATAATTGACCAAACAACAGGCAACATTACAATGAAGGAGAAATGTGTTGTTGCAGACCTTGGTTTACACAGACTGGTAGTCAAAGCTAATGACTTAGGGCAACCTGATTCTCTCTTCAATGTTGTAAGAGTTAATCTATTTGTGAATGAGTCAGTGACCAATGCTACTCTGATTCGTGAACTGGTACGCAGGAGCAGTGAAACATCAGTAACCCAAAATATTGAGACAGTTGATGCATCCTCCCCAAGCAGTGACTATGTCAAGATCATGGTTGCCATTGTTGCTGGCACCATAACTGTCATCCTTGTTATGCTCATCACTGCTGTAGTAAGATGTCGCCAACCACCACACCTTAAGGCTGCTCAAAAAAACAAGCAGAATTCTGAATGGGTTACTCCAAACCCAGAAAACCGGCAGATGATAATGATGACAAAAAAGAAGAAGAAGAAGCATGCCCCTAAGAATTTACTGCTTAACTTTGTCACTATTGAGGAAACTAAGGCAGATGATGTTGACAATGATGGAAACAATGTCACACTAGACCTTCCCATTGAGCTGGAAGAGCAAACCATGGGCAAGTACAACTGGGGCACTACACCTACTACTTTCAAGCCTGACAGCCCTGATTTGGCCCGCCACTACAAATCTGCCTCTCCGCAGCCTGCTTTCCAGATCCAGCCGGAAACTCCCCTGAACTCAAAACACCACATCATCCAGGAGCTGCCTCTTGATAATACCTTTGTGGCCTGTGATTCCATCTCCAAGTGTTCCTCCAGCAGTTCTGATCCCTACAGTGTTTCTGAGTGCAGCTATCCAGTGACAACGTTCAAGACCCCTGTGTCTGTACACACCAGGCCGGTAGGTATTCCCAGTTTCTAACTAACCTTTCCAACTTTATTTTTTAAATTATTTTAAGTTAAGGTAGAACTTTACAGTATCTGTTAACTCAACAAAGGACCAAAACAATCATACTCTTCAGAAGTATCTAAATAGATATATGGATTCCTTTTAAGTTTGGTAGAAAATGGAATAACTCTTGATTGTAGGAAAACTTGGTCAGAACTGTGATTATAATAGGGCCAAGGTTGTCTGTAGATGACAGTATGACACATCTTGCTATAGAATATACTGAAAAAATTCTAAAATAAAGGGTCCCTGATACTGTCCTCAGTACCATTGTGTGCATGAGCATCAGAACAGTTGGGGCTAGATTATTTTAGAATCTGATAAGCAGGTGTTAATGGCTTTGAGAATCCCAACTTTACTTGGAGAAATGTGTGTCTGCTCAAGAGGTTCAAATAACATTAAGACATCTTCCCTACCCTCCATGCCCCCAAACGCACACAATGAAAACAATATCACTTTCAGATTAAGTACTCACCATCATTCTGATTCATAAAATCTATATTCGCAGAATGTAACAAGAATGGGATTAGAAAAATGAAGTCTTGGTACTCACTCTCATCTTCAAGCCAGAGAATGAAATATTTATAAGATCTCTATTTTAGATATTCATTTTAGTATTTGCATACTTTTTTTGAGGTATTGAGAGCTCTTCAAGATACATTCTTGAAAGATAATGACTTTTGGAAAATGAGATATGTTTACTTTCTCTAATGGATGTGAAGAAAAATAAGGGCATAGTAAGACCCAAGAAACCTGTGTACAATAATTTAAAACCCAAAATAAATTTATGAAAAGAGTTTACACAGTGCTTTTTATCTGTATCCCATGGATAAGAAAAATGAATAAAAACCTGTTTAGAAATTCATAAGTATATTAAATGATTTAAATATGGTTAATTCCTTAATAAAGTCAAGTGATGAAATTTATCTACTTTTATTTTTCTCAAAGTCATGCCACAGCTTGACTTTATTATTTTGTCTTTGTTACTGTTAAAAAGGTCCTCATCTCAGTTTCAGTGAATGAAAGCTTTTGAAACCTATTCAGGGTTAATAAAATGGTAGTGATATAAAAGTGAGTATAGGTGTCCTCTCAACAAGATTAGAAATACTAAACAAGTCTATCAGGATTCAAAATAACAATGAAAATAATCTACCATATTTTAAGAAATTGTTTTAAGAATTGTGGTCATTCAAGTACATGCATAGTTTAATTATAACATAACATTAATCTTTCTCTCTTAAGCACACAGTGAAGGTAAGATACTAATTAAAATGTGTGTGCATGTTTGTTACTATAGTTCAAATGGTAAAATAGGACCTTTAGTCTCTTTGTAGAAAGTTTCTGTTATGCCTTGAATTAGTTTACAGGGCAGTGGTTATTTCTCCAATACTAATGAGCCCCATGTTTTCCTCCTTCAGAGGATCGTAGATGGATGACAAACATAATAGATGCCTAACATCTCCTCGGGGTGTGTTTTTGTTAATATTTAACCATTGAAAATGGTTCTCTTATTTTCTGATTTTTGTTGCTATTATTCTGTTTATTTGAAACATTCCTCAATGGAAAAGCACCCTTTAGAAATAACACTTTATATGTGTTTTGTATCCTAATAGCCTCTATTCCCGGACTAAATTTGTGACTTACTTAAAAGTGTATATGAAAGGTGATGTTTGTGAATTACATTTGCATATCATCATTTTTAAGAGATTGGCTAATGAAGTTTGTTAAAAGACTAAATTTTGGTTTTAACTGTTTTGGAAAGTATGGTGGTGTTTTCTGAGATAGATTTATTTTACTTGAGTGTATACTATAAACAAGGCATGGATGAAGGACAAAATTGAAGCATTTTCCAAATAATCCTCTTTTTATTTAATTTTTTTAGAACATAGTAATCTTTAAAAAGGCAATGAAATTAACAACTTTTTCCATGATGACTTTTATTTTATTTAGCCAACAGATCTTTTCCTAGACACAAGACAAATAACTTCATGAGATAGGCAAAATATGTAAATTTTTTGGTTATCATTAGGCTTTTATTAGCTAAAAAGACTATCTTAGAATCAATGAGTTCTCAGATGACCTATTCTATTTTTTTCACACCTTAAAAATAGGTAAATTGCATATTTTATATATTTGGTTCACAGTTGTTTCATATTAATTACTAAATATTTTCTGGACATGAATTGGAGAAATTAGGCAGATTAAAATGATAGTAAAAATAATGTGATTCTTTATATTTTGTGCTACATTGACAGTGTTCTTCACCCTATCTATCTACTCTCATTTCTGATAAATGCCAGGAGAGGCATCTTATATTCACTGATGTTGCAGAATGCTAAGATAAATGAGCATTGAGAAAGAATTAGTGTATATAAAAATTCAAATACAGTAGGTGTCTTCTTCTTAAAGAAACATCATACAAAATGGGAGAAAGTGTCAGCCAATAAAATAAAAACTCATTGTTCCTTAAGGAAATTTTGACAGTGTAACAAAATATTACTGTTAGCAGAAGGCAGAAATATTCCAGTTGATTTTAAATGAAGTAAGAGATGCATTTTCAAAAGCAGAGTTTAGTATTCTATTTACATTTAGTTCATTCTTACCTGAAAGTGAAAGAGAAGAAATAAAGTGGCTCTATTAGGATGCAAGATATAAGGGAATTTATCAGAAATTTCATATATTAAAAAGGGAATAAAATATTTTCTATAATTTTTATGACACTGTTGTTCAGAAAAAATATGGAACATTTATGAGATATAAATGTCTCTATTTCATGAAACCATTTATATCTGGGGAATATGAAGCTCTTCTTTGGTATAAACTTTTAGAAGTATTCTGGAAGACACTTTATATAGGGAGTACCCAAAAAATCTATACATACTTTAACAACTGATAGCTGTTAAATGAAAATGAAATGTATTTTAATAAACACTGCCTTTATAATTATTCAGTGTGTGTGTACATTTTTGGGGACACCATGTATATTGTAGTGGAAATGAAAAACATGAAATTTAAAGATGGTAATACAATTTACCTTCAATTAACATCTTTCAGACCAAGCAGATAGCTTTTGGTTGGTATGACTTTAAGAAAACAGTAAGTGACATCATTTTAAAATCAGTTTCAATAATTGTTTTATAAAAGAGATATACTGCCAAAACCAAATCTTGCTTAACACAGACCTGCCATTAAAATATTATGAAGACTATACACTTGAAAAATAGAGGAAAATAACAATGAAAGTATAATTTTTGAGGACCTTGTATGTACCAGTCACTATCTTAGACACGTATTTGAGGTATTTCATTTCCAAAAATAAAAAATAAAGAAGGAAAAAGAATACTAACAGATTTCTGTGATTGGAGTTGTAATAATCTTGCAGTTTCAGAAATGAGGTAAGAATAATTGGTGGAAGGTTTGGACGGTTATAAAATAACTCATAGATGTAACCCTGCTTATAGGTATCACACATAGATTCGACATAGTAACAAGAGTCTGAGTTAGCTTAGAATAGGATTGGTATTCACTACTGCTAAATTCTGTAAGTTTGTTTTTGTGCATCTATATCTTAGTAATGCAAACTTTAGCTGTGTAGCATGCTTGGCAACTAAGACTCCAAGAACACAGCCATCTGATTTAGTAATGTGTTATTTTTCTTGTCCTAGACTGATTCCAGGACATCAACTATTGAAATCTACAGTGAGATATAACATTCTAGGAACAACATAATTCCATTTCCCTACCAAAAAATTCCAATGATTTATTATTTCAAAATTTAGTTAAGATTGTTAAATTTTAATTTGGCTTTTCCATTATAAAGGCAAGCAAAACAACAACAAAAAAAACACCTTAAAAACGATACCCTATTGAACCTTATGCTTACAATAGCAGTAATCTAGAAATCAAAATACAAAAATCATGGAAGAAACAGTGCAGTGTAATAAAAGAATTTTATCATGCCTTTTCTCCCTTTGCTTGCTCTGAAGGTCAACAGCTGTGATGTAATATAATGCTGCCCTGGTGTACAAACTGATGGTTAATATAGCAATCATGAAACATGGAATTACTTGCCTTGTCTGATTGTTGAAGAGTTTAAGCATCATCTTGGGGAGTTTGGAAGTGAAGCTGAACTATCCAAGCTACCCTCTGAAAGGTATCCAGGGCAAGAGATATTTTTAAGACCAAAACTAAGAACAAAATAAACAACTTTCTTTTTTTCTTGAAAATATTCACTAATATAGTGTTGCTGAAATATTATAATTACCCATCACTCTGTTTAAGAGTTGGATGATACAAAATATTTTTTTTTGTTTTTTTACATTGATTATAATCATGTTGTTGCACTATTTTAATCATTAAAAATTATTTTTGTTGTAATCATGTTTCCATTTCTTATAAATACTGAAAACTAAGGTTTTTAAAAATATTTTATCTATCAAAAGAAAATGTAAAATTCTTTATACTCCCTGATATTTTTAATAAAAGTATTGATATTTCTTGTGTAATGAAACATAACTCCAGTCATATGAGAGTAGAAACAAAGATTTAGTACTATATTTTGAAATATTTTTATCAATTTTGAAACTATCAAGGAAAATATAAGTTACTAGAATCATATCTAAATGGATCTTATTTATTTCTCTGGCATTAAATTACTTAATATATGTTATTGCTTTGAGTAATTTGCCCTTTAAAATTAACTCATTTTTTCCACAAAATATAGATTAATTCATTTCTTGCCCAAATGACTAAATGCTTTGAATTGGATGTAAATTACATTTTATTGAGGAAAAAATGATGTGTCCAATTTTCTGCTATAGTCTTTAATGTGCTTATGACTTTTTAACACTACTAACAGAATTTTTTAAAAAAACATAATTTCTTTGAATATAAAAGGAGTATAAAGGACCCTTATAATCAAGACATAACACATGTTTCCTGGATTTTCATTCAAATGTTTTATTGTGTGTTATTTTACCTTGGAAAGTGTGAATAAGATTTGGTCAATTATGTATGTACATTAAATTAGTGTATTATTTGAAGTGCTCTTTGATGTAAATGTATTTAGAAGAAGCTTGTACTTTATTTACCATTTCAAGTTAGTGTAGTTATTACATTTTTGATATATAGGTAATATTTTAAACAGGTTACTGTTAAAATTTAGTGTTCCTATTTACTCAATATAGAATTCCTTATACCTCCAATCATGTCAGGTTTCTGACTTTTTTTTCTTTTTCTTTGTATTATTCCACATGTATTTATTTATTTGTTTTGAGTTTTGTTGGTTAGAAGGACATGGGAGGATATTGGCAACTATATTGTTCCAAACTCAAAAATAGTAGGAAAGATTTACTCAGAGTAGCATTTCTAGTAATCTAGTAAGAAGTACAGAAAAAAATAAAATAATATAGTTGTCTTACTTTTAGTTATCATTAATAAGTCAGTTATTCAATACAAGCTTGATATTTATAAGTTTAAATTGTACAAATCTCCCCAAATTCCTCATAAATAGAAATAAGAAGTTGAAATCCTCACAATTTATCAAGGCTTAATCTGATGGCAAACAGGTTACAAAAACAAATTTAGTGATACATTGATTAATTCCATTTATAGAGCTCTTAACATACATATAATATAGAATAATTTATATTTCTTACTCAACATGATACAATTTGGGGTTATCAAGATATTTTTGCTGAGGTTTATTTGAGTGTCATTAGTGGGCAAATACACTGGGACCAGGTAAACCTGTACTGTGGTATATCAGTTCTTCCTTTCTTTTTTTTTTCTTTATTGTTGAAAGTATTACATATGTCCCTCCTTTTCCTCCCATTGAACCCTTCCACCAAGCATCCACTCCCACCACCTCAGGTATTTTCTACATTATTGTCTGTGTCCATAAGTCATGTATATATGCAACTAAGTTCTTTGATTAATCTCTCCCCCCACACACTCCCTACTCCACCCTCCTTCTGAAATTCATCCGACTGCTCCATGATTCTATATCTCTGAATCTGTCTTGTTCATCAGTTTATTTTGTTCATTAAATTCCACATATGAATGAGATCATGTGATATATGTCCTTCTCTGATGGGCTTATTTCACTTAGCATAATCCTCTCCAGTTCCCTCTATGTTGTCCCAAAGGGTAAGAGATCCTTCTTCTTTACAACTGCATAGTATTCCATGGTGTAAATGTGCCACAGCTTTTAATCCACTCATCTACTGATGGACACTTGGGTTGTTTCCAGATTTTAGCTATTGTAAATTGCACTGCTATGAACAAAAAGAAGAACAAAGTTGGAGGGATCACAATACCTGATATAAAGTTATACTACAAAGCCACTGAAATAAAACAGCCTGGTACTGGCACAAGAACAGGCATATAGGTCAATGGAACAGAACAGGGAACCCAGAAATTGAATCAAACCTTTATGCTCAATTAATATTTGACAAAGGAGGCAAGAGCATACAATGGAGTAAAGACAGTCTCTCCTCCAAATGGTTTTGGGAAAATTGGACAGGCACATACAAANACAAAAAAAAAAAAAAAAAAAAAATGAAGCTAGACCACCAACTCACACCACACACAAGAATAAACTCAAAATGGATGAAAGGTTTCTGACTTTTTAAACATTACTTAGTTATAATGACTGTGAGTGAAACTGCTTTACTGGTAATGAGAAATGTAAGTTACAATGTTGTCTTACATATTTATAAACAACTGTTGTAGAAAAATACTTAAAATTAAAACTTATCTTTTTGAAAGTTAATCATTTAGAAAAATTTTACAATTCCTCTCCCACTTCATCGTGATAAACTAAGTATTTTAAGTTTAATTCTAATTATTCCAAGGAATGGCAAAACTGAGCCAGCTTAGGGGTTCCTAGAGTCGGTGTTCTGCAGGTACCAAGACGTGCTAAGAGTAGGAATTTCCAAAATCCAGTCATGATTTAATAATGAATAAAATGATGCCCAAGAAAATGAATCATTGCTTCAAATGCCCCATAATAAACTACTGTGGCTTCACGACCATTACCTGTAGTTATTATATAAATGTATGTTAAATCCTTGTGTCATGATCACTCTGATTTCTCCTTAACTGCACACTCTGTGAGCTAAGAATGTCTTTTTCCTTCTGCTTCAGTAACCCTTTCAAACGCTAATAAGAAAAACTCCTGACCACTTCTTTGTATATATGAAGATGAAAATGTCTTGAAATAGTTATCCACAATCTCTAAAAAACCTTCCTCAAGAGTTTTGTGGGTGTAATGTTTGCAGAAGATAAAAATAGAAACTTTATTTTTAAAGCTGTAAGTAACTATTTCTCAAAACACAATCTCTGTAAGAGAAGAACTTCTAAATTGATTTCTTTCCTGCTTTGAGGCTAAAATATTTACCTGTATAAACCAATGATGACTGAGATTTAACCAAATTTAAAATTAAGCTATAGACGAAAATGGACTCTACTTTTGATTATTAACTACCCTTGATCTGTTGTTTGCTTATGCTTGAGGAAATAATATTGCCATTTGAGAACACTATAGACAGCCTTGAAACTCATTTTCCATGAAAACCATAGAGAACAAAAATATGTGTTTTCTTACGTGGTCCTTTCTCATTAGTTGCTTTAGTGCCATTTTAAATTTAATTGTTATTACATGTTTGGTTTACCTGGTCTCAGATATCTTCCTATCTCTTACATTGGCATTAGTGGACTTCTGGAATATTCCCAATGAAATGATCTTGATAGTCTCTCTGGCTCTTATTCTAGTCATTGAATAGAGAAAGACAGAATGAAAACAAATCTTAAGACCAGTAGTCATAGATTTTTTTAAAAAGGTAATTTTTAGTGAATTTAATCTACCTAATTGATAAACTACAATGCACTGTACACTTTCACCCCATGTGCACTAAGAAATGTATATGATTTTCTTTTGATTAAAATCTACAGCACATAAAAAAAGGAAATATATTCCCTAATTTTACTTTAAATATTAAAGTTTATTTTTAGAAGTAGGCTATTCAAGCCATTACACATCTTAAAATATTTTTATTTTCAGTGATTTAAATTTTAAAATTTATAAACAATTTTAATCTTATCAATTAATTAATCTTTTATGTATATATCTGTTTTCTCCGTTGACTACCCTGTTTACATTATCAATGAGAATGCACATACATTAGAATAATTTTTAAAAAATATATCTTTATTGATATCAGGGAGAGGAAGAGATAGTTGATACATTAATGATGAGAGAATGGTCATTGTTCAGCTGCCTTCTGCATGCCCCCAACTGGGGATCGAGCTCACAACCCAGGTATGTGCCCTGACTGGGAATCAAACCTAGATCTCCTGGATCCTAGGCCAGTGCTAAACCGCTGAGCCATGCCCCAAAGAGCAAGAATAATTTTTAAAAGCTGAATTTAGATCCAATCAATCAAGGACTATTTTATATAATATTTGTACTAATCTTTTCATTTCAACACAAAATAATACTGCCTCATTTTACTATTTGTTCCCTGCATTCATCACTGTTTAATTTGCTATTGTAATTGTGCCTCAAGCTAGGTGTGATACAAAGCCTAATTTCAACGGAAATTCTGCAGGACAAGCAGATCTTAAGAAATCATATGTAATTTTCTTTTTTTGTAGTGTCTTTATCTGGTTTTGGGATTAGGATGATGCTGACTTCATAAAAAGAATTTGGGAGTTTTCCCTCCTCTAGAATTTTCTGGAACAATTTGAGGAGAATAGGTGTTAATTCTTTGAATGTTTGGTAAACCTTGTATGGTCCAGGACTTCTGTTTGCTGGTTGTTTTTTGATTACAGCTTCAGCTTCATTAGTTGTTATCAGCCTATTCAGGTTTTCTGCCTCTTCCTGATTCAGCTTTGGAAGATTGTATGCTTATAGGAATTTTCCATTTCACCCATGTTGTCCAGTTTGTTGGTATATAGTTATTCATAGGATTTTTTTACAATCCTTTGTATTTCTGTTGAGTCGGTTGTTATATTGCTTCTTTTATTTCTCATTTTATTTATTTGGGTTCTCTCTCTTTGTTTCTTGATGAATCTGGCTAAAGGTGCATCAATCTTACTTATTTTTTAAAAGAACCAGCTCTTGGCTTCATTGATTTTCTGTATTGTTTTTTTAGTCTCAACATCATTAATTTCTTCTCTGATCTTTATTATTTCCCTCCTTTTACTTCTTCGGAGC